TCCCAGCCCTTCTCCCACCCTGCTCCCAAGCCCTCCTTGACCCCAGCCTGAGAGCCCATTCTATTTCCCTACCATCGCGGTTTGTAGGGATCCAGTTCCTCTCTGGTTCTCAGCTGGATGAGGCACTGTAACAGAGACAGGACGCAGTCTTTTGTTTACCACTGCATTCTCAGCACATAGCCCTGCACCTGGCACCCAGTAGGTGCATAACTATTGTCTTGCACATAAGTGAACAGAGATGGCAATCATATCTGCCTCATGCTGTCATGGTGGGTATTAAAGAAGATGATGGGTGGACAGTACCTTACGTGGTGTCTGGCACACAGTGAGCATGTCACATTGGCAGCTGCTAATGGTGGCTGCTCAGCTCCCGAACACTGGCCAGGAGCTGTGCACCCTGTTTGGAGGCCATGCTTGGGTTCAGCCACTCCCTTGACTGCCTCCCATTCTTCCTCTAGTCTCCCAATGCTTCCAGCCTGGCCTCAGGATCCCCTATCACTCAGGGCCTGGTATGACACCATTCTAGCACACTGTACAGGGAAAGCTGGGGTGGAGGTGGGCAGGACAGAGGATAGAACAAGATGTTGTCAAGAAACCTTCAAATGTCCCAGACTTTCTTAAGGAAAGTATTTCTTGGGAAACACCTCTCTTGGTGTCCAAGCTGTCTGAGGGCCCACAACAGATACTTGCAAACAGTTACTCGCAAACCTACCCCCATTTCCTCCCCTTCCAGGGATAAGGTGCCAGGTGGTAAAGGAGGCAGGGCTGCTACCAGCAGTCAAAGAGCCTCATTGCTGAGCATTTTCCAACACCTGAACCCCAAACAGTTTTAAGACGTATGGAGATTTCCTTTCCCCTAAGGTAAGCTTTTCTGAGGCAGTCAGGATAGAGCAAACAGCCAGCATGGGGCCTGGATGCCTGGGTTCTCAGCCTGCTCATGACAGCCTTCATTCCTCTACATCTTTGCTTATGCCTCTGGGATGGGACAGAACAGCAAAGGTCAAACATTCCTCAGAAGCGCCACCCTTGGGTCAAATTGAATTGTTCCAAGACATGACTCAATATGATGAAGATGAAGGTGAAGATCTGCCGGTCCTGTGTCTCCCTGATGGCCCCATTTGTTTTCCTGCATCTCCCCATGTGCTGCAGTGGCCATGGGCCTTGGGGCATGTGAGACACAGCCTTGGGGCAGCCAGGCCTCAGGCCCTCCATGCGCCCCAGCAAGGAGCAGCAGCACCATGCTTAGAGAATGTGCAGACCCTGTCCTGGGCAGCTCCGGGGCTGGGGCAGGGGATGCTAGGCTGGGATGCTCCTGAGTGAGCTGCTGGGGCTCTGGCTGTGATACATGCTGAAACCCAGCCTCCCTGGGCAGAGAGGTCACACAGGGACTACTTAGAAGGTTGCCAGGGAAAGGAGTCTTCTCCACAAGGACCAAGATCAAGCTGGAGACTGTCAGCCCCATCAGATGTCTGAGGTGACAGGAAAGGACTCTGGGTCCAGTTCTTCCATTACACAGAAAAGGACTATGGGCCCAGCCTTTCCATTACACAGAAAAGGAGCATGAGGCTCAGGAAGGGCAGTATCTAACCTGAGGAGACAGGGGACTGAGTGGTAGAGCTGAGAATCAAAGTACCTCAAGGTACTGAAATACGTCTCCTGCCACTGTAAGCCTATCCTTCCTCCAGAGCCGGCACCCTCTCTGCTCCGCACAGCAAGTGCCTTCCTGTTCTTTCTACCCTCCTTTGGGAAAGCCACTGCCAGGAAAGATGCAGAAAACTCTTTCCCACTGAGGAGGAATGAGAGATAAGGTTTGTGGTGCAGAAATGGCTACATCGCACAACAAGAAGTGAAACTAACAGGAAAGGCAAGGGCTGAAGGACAGGCAAGGGCAGGTAAGGGCAGGAGACGGGTGGTCAGGAGCAAGGCCTTGTCTGCTGCACTTCCTGGCATGTGGGCCAGGTGAGGTCGGGACTCTGGGCTTTTGGATGAGACATACATGCGTAGGAGTCCCAACTCAGCTGGGGCTAGCTTCGTGGGGATGAGACCAGTGTGTTCATCCAAGCACCATGCTTGGCTTAATGCTTTGCTGTTGCCATTGTAAAACATGGCATAATTTTTGAACAACGGGCCTTAGCATTTTGCACTGGGTATTGCAATATTTGCCTGCAGCAACCTCCCACGCCTCACTCTCACTGGTGGCTCTCACTCACCAGTGGCTAATCGTGTGTTCTTGAGTAACTGTTTTAACCTCTGGGAGCCTGTTTTCTCATCCGTAAAATGGAGATAGCAGCATCTGCCTCACAGAATTGTTACAAGATGAATTAGGAGAACATATGCAAAGGTCCTAGCGAGTACCTGGCACATACCAAATACTTAATGACAGTTACTGCTTCAGATTAAATAGTATTAAAACCACACCTTGTTTTATTGTACTTCACTTCATTTCACTTCACAGATATTTCATTTTTTACAAATTGAAGGTTTGTGGCCAGCTTGAGTTCAGCAAGGCTATTGGCACCATTTCTCTAACAGCATGTACTCACTTGATATCTCCGTGTCACATTTTCATAATTCTCACAATATTTTCAACCTTGTTGTAATCATTATATCTGTTATGATGATCTGTGGTCTTTGATGTCACTAACGTCCTTGTTTTGGGGCAAAACAAGCTGCATCCATATAAGAGAGTCAGCTTAATCACGGCTATTCTGACTGCTCCACCGACAAGCCAGCCATTCCCTATCTCTCTCCCTCTCCTCAGGCCGCCCTGTTCGCTGAGACACAACAATATTGAAATTAGGCCAATTTGTAATCCTACAATGGCCTCTAAGTGTTCAAGTGAAAGGAAGACTCATAGTGTCTCACGTTAAATCAAAAGCTAGAGCTGATTAAACTTAGTGAGGAAGGCATGTTGAAAGCTGAGACAGGTCAAAAGAGCTAAGCCTCTTTTGCCCAAGAGTTAACCAGGTTGTGAATGCAAAGGAAAAATGCTGGAAGAAAATTAAAAGCACTACTCCAATGAACACACAAATAATAAGACAGTGAAGTATCCTTATTGCTGGTATGAAGAAAGTTTGAGTAGTCTGGATAGAACATCAAATCAGTCACAACTTTCCCTTAAGCCAAAGCCTAATCCAGATCAAGGGCCTAACTCTCCTCAATTCTCTGAAGGTGGAGAGAGGTGAGGAAGCTGCAGAAGAAAAGTTTGAAGCTGGCAGTGGTTGGTTCATGAGGTTTAAGGAGAGAAGCCATCTCCATAACATAAAAGTGCAAGGTAAAGCAACAAGTACTGATGTAGAGGCTGCAGCAACTTATCCAGAAGATCTAGCTAAGAGAATTGATGAACGTGACTATACTCAGCAACACGTTTTCAATGTAGACAAAACACCCTTCTATTGGAAAAAGATGACTTCAGGACTTTCAGAGCTAGAAAGGAGACGTCAATGCCTAGCTTCAAAGTTTCAAAGGACAGGCTGACTCTCTTGTTAGGGACTAATGCAACTAGTGACTTTAAGTTGAACCCAGTGCTCACTTACCATTCTGAAAATCCTAGGGCCTTTAAGAATGATAATCAATCTGCTCTCCATGTTCTAGAAAAGGAACAAGGCCTGGATGGCAGCACATCTGTTTACAGCATGGTTTCCTGAGTATTTTAGGCCTGCTGTTGAGACCTACTGCTCAGAAAAGAATATTCCTTTCAAAATATTACTGCTCATTGACAATGCATCTGATAACCTAAGAGTTCTGGTGGAGACGTATAAGGAGATGAATGTTGTTTCCAGGCCTGCTAACACAGCATCCATTCTGTAGTCCCTGAATCAAAGAGTGATTTTGACTTCCAAGCCTTATTACTTAAGAAATATATTTCTTAAGGCTATAGCTGCCATAGATAGTGATTTTTCTGATGTATTTGAACCAAGTAAATTGAAAAACCTTCTGGAAAAAATTCACCATTCTAGATGCTCTTAACAGCATTTGGGGTTCATGGGAGGAGGTCAAGATAGCAATGTTAACAGGAGTTTGGAAGAAGTTGACCCCAACCCTCACAGATAATTTTGAGAGCTTCAAGGCTTCCGTGGAGGAAGGAATTGCAGATGTGGTGGGAAAAGCAAGAGAACTAGAATGAGAAGTAGAGGCTGAAGATGGGGCTGAATGGTGCAATCTCATGATAGTATTTAACAGATGAAGAGTTACTTCTTATGGATGAGAAAGAAAGTTTTTCTTGAGATGAAGTCTACTAGTGGTGAAGATTCTGTGAATGTGAATGTTGTTGAAATGACAACAAAGGATTTAGAATATTCCATAAACTTAGCTGATAAAGCAGCGGCAGGGTTTGAGAGGATTGACTCCAATTTTGAAAGAAGTTCTACTGTGGGCAAAATGCCATCAAACAGCATCTCATGCTATAGATATAACTTTTGTGAAAGGAAGTCAATGGATGTGGCAAACTTCATTGTTGTCTTATGTTAAGAAATAGCCACAGCCCACCCCAACCTTCAGCAACAACAACCCTGACCAGTCAGCAGCCATCAACTTCGAGGCAAGACCCTCCACCGACAGAAAGATTACAACTCACTGAAGACTCAGATAATTGTCAATAATTTTTAGTACTAAAGTATTTTTAAATTAAGGTGTATATATATATAAATATATATATATATATTTAAAACATAATGCCATTGCACACTTAGACTACAGTAAAGTTATGTACATCCCTACTTCATCTCACACCACACCTCAGATATTACGTGTTACATGAAGTACACTAAATGAACTGGGGAACCAAAACATTCATGTGACTTTTACTGTGATATTTGCTTTACTGCAGTGGTCTGGAACCGAACCCCTGTCTCTGAGGTATGCCTGTAATTACGGACTACCAGGTGACAAGGTAGATGCCTTGCTCAATAAAAGGATTTTAACAACCACGTCCCAGATCCCACAAACCAAGAAAGGGCCACAGGTCCCAGACACCAGCCTGTGCTCCCCTGGCCTCTTACCGTCCCGAAACGGTTGTGTCTGCATCTGCAACCGGATCTTGATGAGGTCCACGGGCCCTCCCAGCCCGACAGAGACCACACCGGCCACCATGCTGGCCAGGAGCAGGTCCGACAGCGTGCGTGGAGGACTGGCCTCGGGCTCCCCGCAGCGGTGCTGGCTGAGGAACCGCTGCGTGTTACTGAAGACCCCAAACACCACGGAGTTGTAGACGGCAATGCTGGCAAGGGGGAAGGACATGCCCTTGAAGAAGCCAAACACCTGCAGTGAAACCCAGAAGGAAGAGGCGTGAGGACCCGGGGCTGCCGTCGCAGGGCCTGCAGGATGGCAGGGAACACCACTGGACACATCTGCCCAGGTGTCAACAAAGAGAGGGGAAGAGGGTGCTGATGCGACAGGAGGCAGATGGCCGGGGGCCGCTCAGGGGGCAGGCATCCTTGCTCTGATGACAGTCCGGCTTCTGCAAGCCACCTTGTTTCCTATGGGTGGTGTCCTGGCCTGGAACCCACATGTGCTGGGAGGGGCAGTGATCTTGGGCTGGAAAAAAGTCAGGCTGTGGCCACAGGGGAACCTGAGGAGACCTTAGGAGCAGTGGGCTGGCCAAGCACCACACGCCCCCACCTCATACACCACAGTAAAAACATTCTCCAGGCACTGGCCAGGGGCCAGGCCCTGGGGAGCAACCGTAAGAAAGAAACGGCCTCTGCCCTCACTGAGCTCATAGTCTGGGGAAAGTGAGGTGCGGAACAAATTGACAGGCAGTTACAACATAGGCAGCCTACTAAGCCTGTAGTATAAGACAGGGGTTCCCTAGATCCCTGAGGGGTGCCTGGGCCAGCCTGTAGATGAGTGCCCACCAGCATGGGTGTCTCCTGACAGAAGTCGCTGAAGGGGTTACACAAGGACACAGGATGCGCACACACAGGCTGCAGGAGGCTGAGGAGGCGGTGCTGCAGGCTGGGGTTCGGTCCCTTCCACACGGCATTCTTGATGAACACCACAGATGTGCTGAGGAAAACCGGAAAATTCCACAGGCCCTTGGAGGAGTCAGGGCAGCACACGCGTGCCAAATCAAATGTGAGAAAGTACTGGGAAGCTATTGTGCAGACTCCAGGCTGTGCACAAACCCACTAGTCCTTGCTGCACGCACTGTACCCTGGCTGCCAGAGGCAGGGTGCCTCACACACACCAGCAAATGCACACACACGTGCATATATACACACATGTATGCACACATACATGTGAACACACCTTGCTTCATACTGTTCTTCCATCGCAAGATCCTTCAGATAACTTGGATGTGGCTTAGCCATGAGCTGCTATGCCTCAGAGAAACCGCCCGCAGTCCCCACCAAAACCCCGGAGCTGGGACACAGGCTGGCAGACACTGTCGGGAATGTGTGCCAAAAGGAGAATCAACAGCCACTTTCAGGGGACTGTGGACTCCCACAACATCACCCGGGAACACCAAGTGCTAGGCTTGCAGTGCTCGCCCCAGTTGTAAAGCAGTCGATCAAGGGAGTTACAACAGCCTGATGCAAGACACACTTCATCTGTGGGAAAACTCTAGGTGCTTGCAGGAGGCTTCCGAGCCCCAGGGCACTTGTTAGGATGGAGTCCGGTGGAGACAGTGGCTACACTGGGGCCACATTTCCAGTGACTCAGAGAAAAGTCAGAGGGCTGAGACAGGGTTCCACCTGATGGTTTCTTTAAATCAGGTCATTTCATTCAAAATTTTAAAGTTTATTCTAAATTCCAGAAAGAGTGGCCTCAGAAAGTGTTCCTGGAGCACATGCCAGTTCTCAAGAAGGGAGTCTGATGTATCTTCTACAAAGTATCATTCAGTTTTCCCTTTGGAAAAGGAACACCTCAGGTCACATGGTCTCAAGCAACTTGGGCACAGGTAAACTCTGGTGTCTAGGCTCAGACGTGCCTGACTGCCGCCGGGCCAGATAAAGGGAGGTCTATCAGCACACGGTTTGCTAGTCACTTGTTCCTTTGTGAAAAACTGAGTGATCACCTTGTTTTTGCAGGAATTTTCCACACTGTGGCTCCAGATTCTTCAGGATTTCTCCATAGTGGTTACACAAAACCGGAGTTTTTCTTCAGTTATGCTGCGGTAGGTGGCAGGGGTGAGTTTAGGTAACACGTAATATTTGAGGTATGGTGTGAGGTGAAGTAGGGAAAATCGAGCCAAGTGTGAAGAGCAGAATGAGAGGTCCCCACCTGCAAGCCGGTGTGGGGCTGTGGCCCTGGTCCCTAGCCCGTGGGGTCCCAGGCAGGCATCACTCCACCCGCCCAAGAGGCACTTACGCTCTCCCTCCTGTACACCATGCGAATGCAGCTGAGGGTGTTTCCGTATCCGACGCCGGCCTGCAGGCGAGTCTGTGGAGAGAGGCAAGGGCATGGATCGGCTCAGAGATCACTCATAGCCCACTGCTCCAAAGATCCTCGGAGGGAGAGGCCCTGCTCATAGTGACCCCCACCAGCAAAGGGTCTGGGTTTCAGTCCAGACCAGGCTGGTGCTCTGTTTCTGGCTTGCACTGCCTCCCTCTAATGTCCCATTCAGACTCACTCATTGCAAAGAAGCCTGCTTTGCTGAAAGAATGGCAAAGGCCAGCTAGTTGTGCCGAATGATCGTATGATCCCCGCCTCTTGAGTATAAAAACTAAACTGGAAAAAAAAAAAAAAAACTAAACTGGGACTCTACCCTATCTGCTGTCTGTTGCTGCCCCCTCCAAAATATCTTTGGGGGAGACCTGCTCTTCTTGTCCCTAGAACCACCACCCTAGGCCTCACCCCTCATCCTCACCAGAAACATGGCCTGAAGCTCTCCCTGGTCTCCTGCTTCTCCCTCACTTCCTCCATTTCTCTTTATACAACAGGCAGACTGATCATTTTCAAAGGTCAATGAAGCCTCCAGTGGCCTCCCATCAAATGTAGGATAAATTCTGCACTCTCCCTGAGACTGGGAGGCACCTGTCTCTCACCCCATGTGCCATCTCCTCTCCCCGGGCCCTGCATGAGCTGCATGTTCCCAGACCCTGCAGCAGCAATTCTTTCCTGCCTCCATCCAGCTGCCCCTACTGTTCCCCACTTCTGGAAGGCCCTTCCTCCAGCTCCTCCTCATCTTTTAGGTCTGAGTCAAAATGTCGAGTGGCCCTATGTGTTTGATTACATAGGGTTTATGTTGGGTCACCCAACTAGGGTAGGACCACCTGTGTTACTTTCCTTTCATCTCCAGAGCTGGGCACAGCCCTGGCACAGTGGTCCTTTTGCACTGACTGAAAAAGGACTGTATGGCTAAGGTGTGGTGGCCTCTAATGGAGGCTGGCTTTGGTGACCAGGGGCAGCAGCTGACTGGCACAGAGGGTCTGAGTAAGTCCACTCAAGAGTACCCCTGCCCTAGCCTTAGAGGGTTCCACTTATTTTAAGATGTGCAGCCTATAATTCTCCATCAAAACACTTTGTCAGCATGCACAGCATGTCATGCCTGTGCACGAAGGTGCCATGAGACCACCAAAGAGGAGATACTAGGCGGCCCAGTTTGCAGTGAGAGGCTAAGACCCAGAAAAGCAGGCTAGCTCTTCACACAAACCACCTGAGCTCAGCTCTGTGGACAAGTGGAGGAGGCCCTGGAAGGGTACATGTAGTTAAAATGGTGATCTCAGAGTTGAAGATCACAGGCAATGTTTTCCTGCATGGGACTTTTCTGCATTTTCCAACTTTCCTACAATCAGCAGATGTTACTTTCATTATTTGTAGTTTATGTAGTTTAAAACTAATGTAAAGTATACAACTCATATGGAAATACATTTTCTCAAAAACAACAACAACAACAAATTAATGTCACATGTAAGGCTAAAGCTTCATTGGACCCACCTTTGCTCTCACCCTGCTCCTCCCCTGAGTTTATGACCACGGCTAATAACATGGCCAAGAGTTTGAGAAGCACCCATTTAAATAGTTTTATAAACATATGTAGCCATAGGAAAATATAGGAAATAGTACACACCCTGTTCATAAGTATTACTTTCATAATCAGAGAAGTGTGTTTACTGACTCACTCAACCAATATTTGTTCAGGGCCTATTTTATTGGAGGCACTATTCCAATCTCAGGGAATTCAGCAGTAAAGAAACCAGAGTCTGCCCTCATGGAACTTACAATCTGGTGGAGTCAGAAAAGATGGTCAATAAAAAGTAATTCCCAAGTAAATATATATTTTAGATGGAGACAAGTACTATAGAGGAAAATAAACCAAGGATAAGAAGAGCTGGTTGATAACAAGGAAAAGGTAATTTTAAATTGGGTGGGGGAGACTCCCTGGAAGATGCAGCAAGATGAGAACTGGGCCTTCAAGGTCTTCTTGTTGAGCAGAACCACAGAGGCCTATCTCGGAGTGGGATGTCCACAACCAGGACAATGACTTGGGCCAGGTGGTAACTCAGGAGGTGCTGGAGGGGTGCAGGTCTCTCCCTGTGCCCCATGTAAGGCTGTCATGATGTCCAACACTCTCCCACGGCTGTCCCTGGAAAGTGAATCCACAGGATGTTTGACTACCACCCACCCGCTGCAACAAGTAATCAAGTTCCTGCTAAGAAAATTGAGTGGTTGAGTCACTCAAGCCAATAATACATGAAGGAACTCAACCTGAGAGCCAAACCTAGATCACAGAATAATTTCAAAGCCATGGAACAAAGGTCTGTCAGGCATGCTGACCACTCGGGTAGGCTGGCACTGAGGCCAGCAGCAAAGCCCAAGTCTCTAGGGCCCCCAGTGATAGCAGGAGAAGGCATTTAATTGCACCAACTGCATACTGACCATCATATAAAACTGACCTCATTAAATCCCACAGATGCTGTAAGGCATGGATACTGGTCCCGTCTTACAGATGAACACAACCGAATATAAAACTGACCTCATTAAATCCCACAGATGCTCTAAGGCACTGATACTGGTCCCATCTTACAGATGAACACAACTGGCTCCTTACATTAGTTTCCTGTTGCTGCTGTAACAAATTACTCCAAACTTCATGGCTTAAAACCGCATGAATGCATTCTATTACAGTTCTAAGACCAGAAATCTGAAATGGGTCTCAGTGGGCTAAGATCAGGGTGCTGGCAGGGCAGCACTCTCTCGGGAGACTCTTGAGGAGAATCTGTTTTCTTGTCTCCCCCAGCTTTTGGGGTTCACCCCCTTTCCCAGAGCCCCAGCATCATGGCTCCTCTTCTCTCCCTGCTTCTGTTATCACATTGTTTTCTTCCTCTTCCGTAGGAAGAAATCTAAATCTCCCTCCACCTCCCTCTTACAAGGACACTTGTAATTACATTTAAGAACCTCCCCGATAATCCAGGGTCATCCTCCCATCTCAAGATCCTTAACATAATCATACCTGCAAAGTTTTCTTTTGCCGTGTAAGATGACATTCACAGGTTCCACGGATGAGGACACAGGCATGCCTGGGGACCACCATTCAGTCAACCACACTGACTCACATGGTTTCCCCAGGAACCTGGCCCCCTCATTTGGTTCATCCCCAAGGCCTTTCACTCAGAGGCTGCTATTTCCACCAACCTGTAGCCTACTGAGACCAAAACAAGTCCAGTCCAAGCTCTTAACCAGGTGTGACTGCCCTGAGGGTTGGGTTCTCTGACCTATACATAGTGTTAGGTATATAATACGTACTCAGTGAACACCTATGAAAGACAAGAGAGAAGAGAGCTTGGTTCCCTAGCCCAGCCTCAGTGCTTTTAGTTATTAGGGAAAATATCTCCAAATCTGAGGTGTCCAGAGCCCTCATTTTGGGCCTACAGAATGGATGGTCTTGCCATTATCTTTCTCATCTCTCCTGGTTATGCAGAATCAATTTTAAGACTTGCTTAGATTTGGACTCTTTCACTTTGGCAAACCTGCTCCTATTGTATCAAGTAAGATAAAATTAAGTATAATTGTATATATTTAATGTACATCCCATATTAATATCATCCACATAGACCTCCATGAAAGCTGAGTTGCATTTGACTATTTAACATGAGGTTATATTTTGTAAATATTTAGTGCAGCATTAATTTTGATTGTGTACTTTTCTTCTTATATACAGTTTTCTCAGGTCTCTGACACTTTCTTTGGTCCTTATAGAGAATGGGGGCCCTGGATTCTGTGAATGCAGTGGATACATCTTGAAGATCATGGCCCTTCATGCAATATTTAGCTGAAAACTATGAGCTTCATGTCATGGGTGCTATGAATCTCATGCTACTCCAGTTCATGGTGTCCCTCCCATTGGAAGCTCTCAACACCCCACAGCTGAAAACCCAAGGAGAAGAGGATGAGTGCTCAGTGTCAGGAGGTGAGGTGGCTGGAGCCTCAGTGCTTCAAGTTGAGTCACTGCCTGGCCTGCCCCTGGTCTGGCAGGCCATGCCCTGACTGTCCTGGGCCAACATGCATGCCCCAGACTGGACTGGGTAGTGAGGGGGCAGCCTGTAATGGCGGGGAGCATGCTGAAGCAAAACAAGAACCCCCAGTGGGATGTTCATGAGAAGGAGGCAGACATCCCCCACCCCAAAGCCTGTCCATTGCAGTCCAGTCCCAATGGTCTACAGGAGTGGTCCCCAACCTTTTTGGCACCAGGGCCCAGTTTTGTGGAAGACAATTTTTCCACAGACCAGGGTGGGGTGATGGTTTCGAGGTGAAACCATCAGATCATCAGGCATTAGATTCTCATAAAGAGCAGGCAACCTAGATCCCTCACATGCGCAGTTCATAATAGGGTTTGTGCTCCTCTGAGAATCTAACGCTGCCACTGATCTGATAGGAGGCAGAGCTCAGGCAGTAATGCTCGCTTGCCCACTGCTCACCTCCTGCTGTGCGGCCCAGTTCCTAACAGGCCACAGACTGGTACTGGTGTGGTATGGGAGTCGGGGACTCCTGGTCTAGAGGCAGCCAAGCCCTGACTAGAAAACCTAGTCATGCTGCATCAGACATAGGTACCAGCCGGGCCTCCTCAGCCTAAGACCATGTAGCCAAGGGCACAGGAAGAAGTCTTTCACTGGGTCAGCAGCACAGGCCTTGAAGCTGGGTGAGTTCTGGGACCCCAGAAAAGTGACTGTCTGCCTCCCTGCGCCCTAGGTTGTCTATTCATGATAGTAGCATCATCTCGCTCATTGCTGTATCCTCAAGACCTCCGTGAACAGTCTTCATGACAGCCCCACCAGGGAAGTGCTACTTGCCCACTTTACAGACAACGAAACCAAGGCTCAGGAAGGTTAAGTGCTATGCCCAGGTCACTGGAGAGTAGGTGATAAGGCCAGGATTGGATTTCCAGTTATTCAGACTTGCCTGGCCCTTTCTTGGTGGGCAGGGTCTGTTGAGAAAACATCAGCCAGAAGGAAGGAAAGAAGGTGTTCTGGAGTGCAACAGGGGCACTCAGGTCGAACAAAGACTGGATGTCATGTCTCAGGAGGGCTTCCCTCCAGAGCTTCAGGGCAGAGTGCAGAGAAGGGAGAGACTGCCTTTTCAGGCAACTGTGGCCAGGGAGCTCCACTCCTGTAAATTGTGCTAAATCCAATGGCTAGTGTCCTTAGGAAGGACGGGGAGATCTGACACACAGAGACTCAGAGGGGAGGCTATATGAAGACAGGCAGGGCCTAGAGTTACGGAGCCACTGCCCAAGGAGTGCTGAGCACTGCAGCAGGCACTGGAAGCTGGTAGAGGACCATGTGGCAGGTTCTCCCTCAGAGCCTCCAGAAGGCACCAACACCTTGGTTTTGAACTTCCTGTTTCCTGACTTGTGAGGAAATAAATTTCTACTGTTTTAAGCCACCCAGTTTGTGGTTGTTTGTTACAGCAGCCCAAAGAAACTAATCCATACCCTCAAATTTTTATCATTAAATCTCTCACAACCAACAGTGACTTGTTACCAACTTATATTAAGTCAGCCTGGGTTTTAAGGAAACAACAGGCCTTTTCCTTGCCGAGATGCTGGGCCTGTGGCAGGCAGTTCCATGGTCAGTGACTGAGCATGCCACCTGGAGAATGCTTGTTCATCTTTTGAGGTGTCCCACTGCCCGCCAAAGAGAAATTTGTAAATACCATTTAAATCAGAGAATTGAAAACACATTCTCCAACTTTGGTGAAAATCTTCCCGGACATTGTCACATGATGTGGTAACTGAGCAAAACTTAACATATATTGAATGATATTGATAAAAATAGCAACTACCAATTTTGAATCCCTACTGAGTACCAGAAACAATGCTTATAATCTTATACTGACCCTGTAAGCCAAGGATTCGTATCGTGTTTAACAGAAGGCTATACAAGCAGGAAATGGCAAACACAGGATTCACACCTAGAGCCTGTGTGGTTCCAAAGCCCATGCTTTCCGGCTTGGCCATGCTGCCTCCCCACTGACCCATTCTTGTGAATTGGTTTGTTGAATGATCCCTGGAGGAGACAGACTGGGAATGACTGAGGTGAGTTTGGGAGGGTGAGAATCGCCAGGAACAACCAGCACTGTCATGGAGACATTAGGGAGTGCATCTGAGTCCTCCAAGTCTCCCCAAGGCCCAGCCCTGGAGAGGTATGCAGCAGGCAGCTTGAACTTGGCTGGGGTCCAAGATGGCCACTCATTCAGCAGGTGCTTATCCAGGGAGGCTGTGCCCAGCTCTGTGCTGAGCTGCATTCTGAACCGGAGAGAATCAGAGGCCACAGGCTAGGGAAGCCAGGCCTGGGCAAGATAACCAGCCAGCTCTCGTGGAGGGTAGAGGGCTCAGTGGGCAGCTACCACAGAGGTAGGAAAGGTTTCTGAGGACCTGACTTGGCTCCGGACAGCCCTGGGGAGTCCAGACATGGGCCCTAACTCTGGGCAGCCATGGCTCAGCCTTGATAGGCTAGTAAGTTCATTTCAGACATGAACTTGCTGCACAGCCCTCCTTGGTGGGCTCTGAGATCCAGGGCCTGGGTGTGCAGGGCTGGCAGGAGGCAGGCAGCAAGGCCCCTAGCACACTCTGCAATCCCATTCTCCCCGGGCCTCTCCCAGCACCTGCACCACACCACTTGCTCAGCTCACTATGTGCACCATACACACACTGGCCTTCTTTGTTTTCCTGGAGAATGTACATCACAGCCTGTTCCCACCCTTGGGCCTCTGCACTAGCTTGTCCCTCTGTGAGTAGCACTCTGACCCCAGTTCTGCACGTCTGGCTCTTTGTAACATTTGAGTCTCATCTTAGCTGCCTCCCTGGCAGAGAGGCCATCCCTGACTCTTCAAACTAGAGAAGGCTCTCGTCACTGTCTTTGCCATCACCTAGTGTGTCCCCCTAGCACCTACCACTGTCCATAAATGCTTTGTGCATCTGTTGTGTTCCCTAATTATTGTCCACCAATGTCCTAAAAATATCTGTCTCCTTGCCTGCCTCCCTCACTCCTAAGTCCTCAAAGCCCAGGTCAGCCTGGAAGTAAAGTTTACTTTGGAGCTTTGAATCCAGCACTACAATGCCCTGCTCTGAGATCTGGGGCAGGATCCTGAACTCTGCACTTTACTATCCTCCTGTATAAAATGGGAAGATTATACCATTCCAGGAGGGTCGACTAAGCCTGCTTCACTCACCACTTTGTGTGCCCATCTCCCAGCACTGGGTCCTGCCTGCCAGCCCCCTGCATTGGGACATCCCCTGGGGAGCCTAAATGCCCCCTTTTACTACTTAAAGTGTTTCTTCAAATATTTAAAACAGGTAGACTGATCTTCCCATCAAGAAGAGGGTGAACATGGACCCTGACCTAGGAGACGGTCCATTTTCATACAGGGAGCAAGATGGGGAGAAAGGACATTGCAGCAGCCATTTGAAAAGGGCCTGTGAGGCTCCTCTCTGTGCACAATCCAGGCAGAGCTTTAGAAACGGATCTGGAAGCCAGTCAGCAGTGAGGAGGCACAATTTATGGCTCCATTCCCAGAGCATAGCTCTAAGTTCTGCTTACCACTGGGGACTGGTGCAGGGGTGGGGATGGGGTGAAAGATTGCTCCTTTGCAGCATCTCACACCTCAGTTTTTAACTTGTTGTATGATCTGAGATGAGCCCCTTGCCCTTTCTAGGGAACATCCCAGAACAAGGGGCTTGGATAATCCCAATGCCAGGAAGGCCCCACCAGCTCCAGAATCCTCACACCTATGTGCTTCATCAGGTAATGATGGGTTCCCATCTCCAATCTAGTTCTCAAGTTCTACCTGGACCTCTGAGTGTTTCAAGTCTAAACCAGACCTCCTGGCACCCCACTCCCCCTGGGCTGGCAACAGAGTCTGCCCTGGGCAGAAGACTTTCTGGGAGATCAGAAACAGCAGGCATAGTCCCAGAGGCAGGTCAGCTCCATGCCTCTTTTTAAGAGGTAATGAGAAACATGGCTACTGTACCTTGACCGTGTCCAGAGGGTGGCCGACGATGACACTGGCTGCACCTGTGGATCAAAAAAGAATGCCTGGTAACTCAGCCCTTGGACTCCTGGCTTGTACCAGCCAGCTCTTGGGACAAAACAGTCACTCAGTTAGTCAATGGTCAGTTGCTGGGGTAGGGGGAGTGGGTGGGCTCCAATGTTTTAGGCACTGGCCCATGCACCAAGGAAGGCAGAGAAAATAGAGTAAAACAAGTAATCACTCCATAAAAGGGAGGCAAAGGGACTGGAACAAGTAGATATTCACAGGCAAAAGAGTGAAAGAGTGGAGATAGACACCCTACCTCATACCATACACAAAATTAACTCAAAATAGATCAAAGATCTAAATGGGAGAGCAAAGCTATAAGATTCTTAAACTAAAACACAGAAAAAAATCTTGACCTGTGATTTGCAATGGACTCTTAGATATGATAGCAAGTGTATGACCAACTGAAGGAGTGAAGGACATACCACACCAAAATATAGCAGATGGGTACATTGATTATTTCAAGTTGAAAACATTGAGAAATCATAATTTCTGAAAGGGTGAACTGGCCTGCCTCTTCCTGCATGCAGCAAGCAATAAAGATTCCTCTGGGAGGGGTACCCTCTCCATACCAGGGTAAGAAAATAGCTCTTACTAGCCGGGATTCGGAATTGAAGGCTGCAGTGGCCCTGAATTCATGCTTAATGAAGCAATCCTTATATTCCACCTGTTTTATACCCCCCTACCCATATTTCTAGTGACTCCTCTAGCAAAATTCCACCACCCTAGCCAGATTTTCTTTGTCCTGTCATTTCTTCTCACATTGATCACTCTTTGTTTAAAAAGTATGAAAAGATCTTGTGTTGGCCACTTCTCCTGACTTCACTCTCTTGGGAAGATCCCTATGTCGTGAGAAACTAATAAAATCTGTATTATTTTTCTCTTGTTAACCAGCCTCGTGTCAATTTTGTTTTTATATTCAGGTGAAGAGACCAGTAGGAGCTAAACAGGGGGTCAGAGGTTATCTCTAACTCCCCTACACAACACAAGAAATAATAACATTCATAAAAATTGAAAACTTTTGCACACAAAAGTGAAGACATCCTATAGAATGGGAGAAAATGTGTGGAAATCACATATTTGATAAGAATTTAGTGTCCATATATAGAAATAACTCTTACAACTGAATAATTTTAATAGGCAAAGGACTTGCACACACATTTCTCCAAAGATGATATACAGATGACCAACAGGCACATGAACAGAGGCTCAACATCTGTAGTCATTTGGGAAATGCAAATTAAAACCACAATGAGAATCCTCTTCACACGCAGTAGGATAGCTATAATTGAAAAAAAGTGGAAAAGAACTGTTGGCAAGGATGTACAGAAACTGGAACTCTTGTACGTTGCTTGTAGAAATGCAAAATGGTGCAGCCATGGTGGAAACAGTTTGGTAATTCCTCAAAAAAGCTAAACATAGAGCTACAACCTAACCCAACAATTCAATTCCTACATATATACCCAATAACAGAAAACAGATACTCAGACAAGTACAAGTACACACACATCATGGCAACATTGTTCACAATAGCCAAAAGGTGGAAATAATCCAATTGCCCATCAACTGGTGTATGAATAAAGAAAATGTGGGATATTTATACAGAGGAATACTGTTTGGCAATAAAAAGAAACAAACTATTGATGCATGCTATAGCATAGAGGCACCTCCAAAACATTATGCTAAATGTAAAAGGCCAGACATAAAAGGCAAGGTATTGTATGACTCTACCTATATGAATTATCCAGAATAGGTAAATCCATAAAGACAGAAAGTAAATTAGTGGTTGCCAGGACTGGGAAGAGGTGGAAATGGGAGTGATTCTTGAAGGGTACAGCATCTTCTTTGGTCACGAGAAAAATGTTTTGGAACTAGATAGAAGTGATGGCTGCACAGTGTTGTGAATGTAATAAATGCCACTGAATTATACACTTTCAAATGGTTAATTTTCTATTATATGAATTTCAGCTCAAAAAGTGTGGCAGGATATGTGTAAAGAAAAGACCTGAAAACTTTCAGTTCCTGCAGGTTACTTAACTTCTCTATGTCTCACTTTTAGCATGCATAGAGTGGGAATAATAACAGCACCTATCTCCTGCTTCCATGGTAAGAATGAAATTCAGTAATGCATATAAAATACCTAGCAGAGAGCCTGACACCTACAGGATGCTCAAATGTGAGTAATGTCACCATAGAATTTTTTAAAAAGAAGACCCATTTGGAAAAGTGATGAATACACTGTATCTTTTCACAGAAAAAATACCTACACACACACACACTCACAAGACTTGTACAATTTGAAGAGAACCAAGGCTGCCCCAAGGCCACTTAGATTAAGAAGCCCTTTGTATTAGTTTGTTCTCATGCTACTATCAAAGACATATACAAGCCTGGGTAATTTATAAAGGAAAGAGGTTTAATCAACTTACAGCTCCACATGGCTGGGGAGGCCACACAATCATGGTGGAAGGTGAAGGAGGAGCAGGTCATGTCTTATATGGCAGCAGGCAAAAAGAGAGCTTGGGGAACACCCCTTTATAAAGCCATCAGGTCTCATGAGACTCATTCACTACCATAAGAATAGCACAGGAAAACTCGCCCCCATGATTCAGTTACCTCCCACTCAGTCTTTCCCATGATACATGGGTCTCTTCCATGACACATTACGGGAGCTACAATTCAAGATGAGATTTGGGTGAGGACACAGCCAAACTACATTATTCCACTACCGGCCCCTCCCAAATCTCATGTCCTCACATTTCAAAACCAATCATGCTTTCTCAATGGCCTCCTAAAGTCTTAACTCATTTCAGCATTAACTCAAAAGTCTACAGTCCAAAGTCTCATCAGACAAGGCAAGTCCCTTCCACTTATGAGCCTGTAAAATCAAAAGCAAGTTACTTTGAGCCTGTAAAATCAAAAGCAAGTTACTTTGAGCCTGTAAAATCAAAAGCAAGTTACTCTGAGCCTGTAAAATCAAAAGCAAGTTTCTAGAAAGTTACTTTCTAGAAACAATGGGGGCACAGGCATTGGGTAAATACACCTGTTCCAAATGGGAAAAATTGGCCAAAACAAAGGGGCTACAGGCTCCATGCAAGTCCAAAATCCAATGGGGCAACCAAATCTTAAAGCTCTGAAATGATCTCCTTTGTCTCCATGTTTCATATCCAGGTCATGCTAATGCAAGAGGTGAGTTCCCATGGTCTTGGGCAGCTCCATCCTGTGGTTTTGCAGGGTACAGCCTTCCTCCCAGCTGCTGGCATGAGCGTCACCCATGAGTTAGCAAATGCTATCAACATAGCTGATCTGCATGCCCTGCTGCAGAGGAAAGTGCTCTGAGAGGTACCACTGGTGAAGGAACTGAGGGAGAAAGGAAATGGGGTTTCTTTTTTAAAAAATAATTTTATAAAAAGTTATAATGCCCATGAGGCTGGCAATGAGTTCCTGTGGCTTTTCCAGGTGCATGGTGCAAGCTGTCAGTGGATCTACCATTCTGGGGTCTGGAGGATTGCGGCTGTCTTCTCACAGCTCTACTATGCATTGCCCCAGTGGGGACTCTGTGTGGGGCTCCCACCCCACATTTCCCATACACACTGCCCTAGCAGAGGTTCTCCATAAGGGCCCCACCCCTGCAGCAAACTGCAGCAAACTTCTGCCTGGACATCAAGGCATTTTCACACATCCTCTGAAATCTAGTGGAGGTTCCCAAAGCTCAATTCTTGACTTCTATCCACACGCAGGCTCAATACCATGTGTAAGCTGCCAAGGCTTGGGGCTTGCATCCTGTAAAGCCACAGCCCAAGCTGTACATTGGCCCCTTTTAGCCATGGCTGGATTGGCTGGGACACAGAGCACCAAGTCCCTAGGTTGCACAGAGCAGGGGGGCCCTGGGCCCAGCCCAGGAAACAATTTTTTCCTCCTAGGCCTCTGGGTCTGTGATGGGAGGGCCTGTCGCCAAGGTCTCTGACATGCCCTGGAGATATTTACCCCACTGTCTTGGTGATTAACATTTATTTCCTTGTTATTTATGCAAATTTCTGCAGCAGGCTTGAATTTCTCCCCAGAAAATGGGTTCTTATTTTCTATTGCATAATTAGGCTGCAAACTTGCCAAGCTTTTATGATCTGCTTCCCTTTTAAACATAAGTTACAATTCCAAACCATATCTTTGTGAATACATAAAATTGAATGCGTTTAGAAATCACCTCTTGAATGCCTTGCTGCTTAGTAATTTCTTCCACCAGATACCCTAAATCATCTCTCTCAAGTTCAAAGTTCCACAGATCTCTAAGGTAGGGGCAAAATGCCACCAGTCTCTTTGCGAAAACATAGCAAGAGTCACTTTTATTGTAGTTCCCAACAAGTTCCTCATCTCCATCTGAGACCATCTTAACCAGGACTTCATTATCCATATCACTATCAGCATTTTGGTTAAAACCATTCAACAAGTCTCCAGGAAGTTCCAAACTTTTCCACATTTTTCTGTCTTCTTCTGAGCCCTTCAAACTGTTCCAACATCTGCCTGTTACCCAGTTCCAAAGTTGCTTCCACATTTTCCGGTATCTTTACAGTAACGCCCCACTCTACTGGTACCAACTTACTGTATTAGTCCATTCTCATTCTGCTAATAAAGACATTACTGAGACTGGGTAAACTATAAAGGAAAGAGGTTTAATTGACTCACAGTTCTACATGGCTGGGGAGGCCACACAATAATGGTAGAAGGTTAAAGAGGAGCAAAGTCACATCTTACATGGTGTCAGGCAAAAAGAGAGCTTGTGTAGGGAACTTCCCTTTATAAAGCCATTGGATCTCATGAGACTTATCCACTAGCATGAGAACAGCATGGGAAAGCCTATATCCATGATTCAATTACCTCCCACAGGGGTCCCTCCTGTGACACATGGAATTATGGGAGCTACAATTCAAGATGACATTTGGGTGGGGAAACAGCTAAACCATATCAGCCTTGTTGTAGCAGTTGGTGACTGAAATTGAAAGGGAAACTGTTCTTCAAAGACAAATTGCCAAGCACACTGATGAAGAAGGAAATATCTGCATTAGTAGAGGTGATTTAACCAGGTAAGGTAGCTAAGGGCTCCTGGACTATTAGATATTTTTAGGGACAAAGAAACCAGCTAATCCCAGAACAATGAGTCCCTGGGTCCAAAACCACCTGTCCCCTCTCATGCCCTGCGACCTACTAAACTGGGCAGAGGCAGAGAGGTGATAGCAGTAATTGACCCTTCCCAGTAGTGGGGGGAGGAGCGCTGGTCCCAGGCTCCATGGCTTCCTCCATAGTGAGTGCACACATCCTTCAGCTCAGAGCAGGCTTAGATCCAGCCTTGAGCCAACATCTCCCTGCCACCCATTTGAAAGCAGGGGATTTGAGATTTTAAAAATGGAATTATGAGGTCAGTGGTTTCCAGACCTTTGCACTTCACAAACCAGTAAAATCTCACACAAAATGTGTATGTGTGTGGGGGTAATATAAAAAAAAAAGGGCAACATTTTGTTATGTAAGTTTGTTTGGAAAGAGTTAAGATGAAATTAAGATGGCAGATTCTGGTGCCAGGGAGCCTGGGTTGGAATCTTAGTGCCAATGCTAGATGCATGGTCTTAGGTAAGTCAGTGAATTTCTCTGTATCTCAATTTCCTCATCTGTAAAATAAAGATGCAATGGTACCTGCCTCTTTGGGGTTGTTATAATAACTAAAGAACTATACATAAACTGACACAAGAGATCACATATTGCAAGATTCAATTGACATAACA